TATCCACTGATCTGATCTCTCTCCTTCAGGAACATGGATCCTTTATCTCTTGGATCTCTGTTGTGCATTTTCTCTATTATCTTGTTTTTTTTTTTTTTTTTTTGAGATGGAGTCTTGCTCTGTTGCCCAGGCTGGAGTGCAGTGGTGCAATCTCGGCTCACTGCAACCTCCACCTCCCTGGTTCAAGCAATTCTTGTGTTTCAGCCTCCCGAGTAGCTGGGATTACAGGTGTGTGCCACCATCCCTGGCTAATTTTTGTATTTTTAGTAGAGATGGGGTTTCACCATGTTGGCCAGGCTGGTCTTGAACTCCTCTCTTTTAGTATATGTGCTGTTGAAGCGAGCACAGGTCTTGAACTCTTGACGTCAGGTGATCCACCCGCTTTGGCCCCCAAAATGTTGGGATTACAGGCATGAGCCACTGCACCTGGCCTTTCTCTGTTACCTTCTGCCTCATGATTGTCTCATCTGTGTCTTCTGCAACTGCTGATTGGTGGAGCCTCCTTGTCTCAATACATTACTTATTGGATTTTCCGTAGTGTTGATTCCACTATTTCTTATTTTCAGCTTTACTTTTAATTCTACTAATGTTGGTTTAGTTTCTCATAATAATTTCCTGATCCATCCATCTCTCTTTTCACCTTAGCCTGTTTTCTTCTTCTCGTTTTCTGTTCTTGTTTCCTAGAGGGTACTTTATCCTATATTTATGTGCTGAAGAAACACCTTATGTTAGAAATTTTATGTATGTTCTTCCTTTTAGCCTTCTTGAGAATATTTGTTTCCTAAGCTCTGTACAGTTCATTTTATTCACTCCATGTAAGAATATTTTTGCCTTTATATCCAAATAAGACAGGTTTGTCCAACCTCCTAAACCCATAATCTTTTTTTTTCTTTTTTCTTTTTCTTTCTTTTTTTTTTTGAGATGGAGTCTCCCTCTGTAGCCCAGGCTGGAGTGCAATGGTGCGATCTCAGCTCACTGCAACCTCCGCCTCCTGGGTCCTGGTTCAAGCAGTTCTCCTATCTCAGCCTCCCAAGGAGCTGAGATTACAGGCATGAGCCACCATGCCCAGCTAATTTTTGTATTTTTTAGTAGAGACGGGGTTTCACCTTGTTGGCCAGTCTGGTCTTGAACTCCTGACCTTGTGATCTGCCCTCCTCGGCCTCCCAAAGTGCTGGGATTACAGGCGTGAGCCACCGCACCCGGTCCATGATCATTTTTTTAAAATGAGATGGGCGTCTCTCTTGTGCACTGGCTCTTTGATATTCTGAATCCATAGGGTACACAGAGAGCAGTGTTCCCCAGCATGCATTGCAACCTTTCCTTGTCCTGTCCTGGTCTTTGTCTATTGCAGGATACAGTGTACCTCTGCCAGTTTAGATTCTACTTCTTGCCCTGTTGTGCCCTGGATTGCCATATCTGGATAATGTTGGGATAGAGGGAAGGGAGAGACAGAGTTGAGGTATGGGAGGAATGGAGGGAACATTGTCCTGATTGCCTAGGCAAGCAGATCTCTTTTCTTTCCCGTAGTGTTTGTTTAAAGACAGGGTCTTAGTGTGTTGTGTAGGCTGGAGTGCAGCAGGACGATCACGGCTTACTGCAGCCTCAAACTCCTGGGCTCGTGTGATCTTCCCACCTCAGCTTTCCAAGTAGCTGGGACTACAGGCGTGTACCACCATGCCTGGCTATTTTGTTAATTTTTTGTAGATACAGGGTCTCACTATGTTGCCCAAACTTCTTTATCTTTTAAAAGATTTCCTAACTGTTCCACAGGATGTTTACTGCTTGTGTAGTAAGTTTTTTTAAATAGCACTCCTATATTTACGGAACAACCGCTTTGTATTTTAGATCTGAATCCAGTTTGAGGTTTTCTGAGGCAGGAATTGGTCGGTAGGAAAGGCAAGGGGTATCTGTCCATGTCTCTTAGAGCAGATTCTAGTGTCTTGAATCCAGGGTTGGTTTTCGTAGTCCCGCTCCATCTGCTTTATTATTTGTGGACATTTCTCTCATGTTCTGGTGTTAATGCATCTTTAACCTTTGCTTTTAGTGTTGTGAGTTTTTGCCTTTTGAAAACTGACATGAAGTGCTGCTATATGGATGCTCTTTTTGCCATTAGGAAAAAATTAGAGTTATATACACGTAACGTACAATGCACCATCTTGATCATTTTATCTGTACATCTCAATAGTGTTACTTACATTCACACTGTTGTACAACCAGTCTCTTTTCAACTTGCAAAACTGGAGCTCAAGCACCAACCCCATTCCCTCCCATCCACTCCCCAGCCCCTGGCAACCACCAGTCTATTCTCTTTCTTTTGGCCATTTTTAAATTTTTTAATTTTTAGGAGGCTATGTCATGCACTCTTCTTAATGTTTTCTGTCTCTGATTTATTCAGCACATTCATATTGAGCGTGCACTCTTTGGTAGACCGTGTTCCAGGTTCTGGGGACACAGCTGTGAGCAAGGGCGTATTGTTCTTGTCCTCAAGTAGCCGACATTCCAGGGAGGAAAGACAGTAGATAGGTATATGACTGAGCTAATGAATTCAGTTAGTGCTAAGTCCGGTGAAGACGGCAGATGGTGGTGTGACAGAGTGCCTTTCGGGTAGTTTTGGCCAGGGAGGTCCCAGAAGGCCTCTCTGAGCAAGCGATGTTTTGGCTGACTCCTGGATCTCCACAAGAGACCTCCTCCCCTGATGTAGAAGGACCAGAGGAACAGCCCTCTGGGAAGAAGGAACAGCATGCACAAACATTCTAAGACTGTCTTGAACTTGGCTCATTTGAGAAATGGAAAAAATACTGATGTGACTTAAGTGTACTAAGCAATGGGGAGAAGAGAACAAGATGAGGCTGGACAGGCCATAGAGCAACGCCAGGCAGCCTAGATGTTGTTCCAATTGCAATGAGAAGCCACTTGGGGCCTTTGTTAATTTATTTATTTTGAAGCAGGGTCTCGCATTGTCACACAGGCTGGAGGACAGTGGTGCAATCATGGCTCACTGTAGCCTCGACCTCCTGGGCTCAATCAGTCCTACCACTTTAGCCTCTCGAATGGCTGGGGCTATAGGTACATGTCATCCTGCCCAGCTAATTTTTGTATTTTCTGTAGAGACAAGCTTTTGCCATGTTGCCCAGGCCAGTCTCAAACTCCTGGGCTCAAGCGACTCATCTGCCTTGCCCTCCCGAAGTGCTGGAATTACAGGTGTAAGCCACTGTATCTGGCCCACTTGAGGTTTTTAACAGCAGAGTTATGTGACCTAACACTTGACATTAAAAAAGAAAGATTTTTGCATAAAAATACACTTGCGTTGGATAATATTGCACACAGCAATACACATGTGTATGAGCACAGCCTCTTCATCTGCCTCTGTCCACCAGATCCCCTGGGAATACCTCAGGGAAGTTTGGAATACCTGTAGACTTTGCTTTGAGTAATTCTAAAGAAAAGGCTGACACGTAGTATTGCTTTATGGATGGGGCATCTGAGACCCTGAAATGTTGAATTTTAGTTCATGAGTCATTATCTAGGCTGATTTTTCTTTATCATTTATTCTTGTTCTTAGACTTAGAGCAGAATCTCCAGGGTGTCAGTCAGCTGAGCTTGAGACTTAGCTATTGTTTTCTGTTACCTGTTTTGGAGACAGGTTTCACATTGTCACCCAGGCTGGAGTGCAGTGGCATGATTTCAGCCCACCGCAGCCTTGACCTCCTGGGCTCAATGGATCCTCCCACCTCAGCTTCCTGAGCAGCTGAGACTACTGGCTAATTTTTATATTTTTTGTAGAGATGGGGTTTTGCCTTTTTGCTTGGGTTGATCTCCAACTCCCGGGCTCAAGCGATCCTCCTGCCTCAGCCTCCCAAAGTGCTGGGATTACCGGTATGAGCCGCTGTGCCCAACTGAGACCTATTTATTCTAATGGTAGAATTGCTATGGGGTAAAGAAACCCACCTCTGGTTACTCCTGTTTCTATCAGCAGGTGTATAAAATATTCTACAATAATATATGACCCTTGAAAAAAATACTAAGGTCTCCCCCGTCCCCCAGGAGTTGGTGGAGGATTCAAAACATGGTTTTTAGTTTGCCAGATTGGTATTTGTGAAAGTGTTTCTTGTTAGAATGGAATGAGTACTTGCGTCCTTGGTGATGGGGCTTCCTGACATCTGCCACACAAGCCACATCTGAGGGCAGGGGTGGCATCGTGTGCTCACACTGCAGGCATCTTTTCTGAGCCATGGCCATTGTGACACTTGGAATTCAAACCACATTTTGAGCAGCCTATTTTTGATAGACTGACCTTTTTTTTTTTTTTTTTTTTTTTTTTTTTTTTGAGATGAAGTCTTGCTCTGTCACCAGGCTGGAGTGCAGTGGCGTGATCTCGGCTCACTGCAACCTCTGCCTCCTGGATTCAAGCAATTCCCCAGCCTCAGCCTCCCAATTAAGTGGAATTACAGGTGTGCACCACCATGCCCAGCTAAATTTTTGTATTTTAGTAGAGTTGGAGTTCTACCATGTTGGCCTGGATGGTCTTGATCTGCTGACCTCGTGATCTGCCTGCCTCAGCCTCCCAAATGCTGGGATTACAGGTGTGAGCCACTGTGCCCAGCAGAATCTGACTTTTTATTGTAAGTATTAGAAATATTCTTAAAAGTTAAAAAAAAAAAAAAGAGAAATGCCTTTATTTGACTATGGTAAATAGCAATTGTTTTTGTCCACTGTTGGGGAGTGAAACAGCCTGTGATAATTCTGAGCTTGATATTATACAGAAACTAGTTCGTAAACAGACGATCAGAATCTGCTCTTGGTACTTCATTCATAACAAGCCCACCGTGTTTTACATCATGCCCTTTTCACTCCAGCCTGGATGACAGAGCGAGACTCTGTCTCAAAAATCAATAAATAACTCCCAAGTTCAACTCTTTCTACAGTGAGTACGAATATTTCATGAGCTATAAATGTTTAATTTGGAAAATAGTTGGCATCATTCTAGGTCTTTATTTCAGAAAACATCCTGGGATGGCACGGGCCCAAGTCACATTCCACAGAGCAGCTGAAAAATGGGACACTTGGCTCTTTGCCATCAGCCAGTGCCAACATAACCTGGGCAATTTTACCAAAGTCCACTGAAGATGAACAAACCTTACAGCCAGAGCCAGAGGTAAGCGTGCATTCCTCTTGGTGCTTTCGTGGCCTGTGCTATCGCTTGTTCAGAAATAGAGTAATTATATTTGTAACTTGCTCATCTCTTTCTTTTAAGAGGGGACAAATTAAAAAAGGGAAGAAGTGCCTGGAGAGACACAATCAGCTATGTGCATGCCTGGCACCTCTCTTGTTCTTGTGTCTGGTAGCTGCTGCGGGTGAATTGTGATTCTAAGAATGAGGAATCTCCTATTTTCATTAAAATGGGAGTCATTTTAACTTCAAGTGGGGGAAATTCTAACAGATCCATTAAAACGATGCCTATTGACATGATGGGAGCAGTTACAATATATCATGTCACTCCCCTGAATAATGGCTTCTTTGTGTGTATCACGAATAATGGCTATCTTCGTGATACAAGCTCTTGCCTCACAGGCTCGACTCCTGCATGCTCCTGAGCCAGGCTGGGATCCGTGGGGCCATGGCCAAGACTCCTTTGGAGCACTGCGCTGCAGCCCGGGTTCAGGGTGCAGAGGATATGTGCTGCCTCGTCAGATCCTGATGACCAGCCAGGCTCCAGCAGGCTTCATGGACTCTGTCATCTGCCCTCAGCTTGACTCTCCAAACTCTGCCTCTAAGTGGCAGCTGGAGGGTAGTCAAATGCAGCATTTACTCTTGTCAATTTTATTTTGTGTCCTGAGTCCATTTCTGTTTTTCTTTTTCTTTTGATGCACATGATACAGTCTTGATATAGTCTCTTGACCGGACGGAGGCCTCCTTTCACCACGCGTTAGAGGTTGTTCTTAATTTCAATTGAAATCGTTTCAGCCTAAAAATTGTAGAACACTCGCAAGATCTATTTGATAAGGTTGAAAGCCCCAAGGCAGCTTCTTCGATGAAATGGTCCTGGTTATCAATGGAAATTTTTCTCCAAGCAGCATAGGATTATATCCTTTGACAGTGATTTAGTAGCATAGCTCTTATAAAGTCAGATTAGCCTGCCTACAAATAATGTCATTGGCACTTTTAAGGGGTGTTAGAAGCGTCTGAAGTGAATAGTGTCTGTGGATTTTGGAAAGCCATTTACCCTGTAGGTACAAAGAGTTTCAGGGTCAAGAAACACTTGCAGCTGACGTGTAAGTGAATTAGAAGGTAAGTGGGCGACTGTGTAAATGGTAGAGACGTGGGTTATTAGATCTTTAGTAATCATTTTTTGGTTCCTTCCTTCTAGGAGCATTCTTGGGCAAAACCTAACTGGAGCGATCACGTAATTAACTTACTTATTAGGGCTCGTGCCATTTCTGACTCTGTAAATCCTCTTAGTGTTTCTTCTGCATTTTTTTGATAGGTGCTCCCTCTGACCCCAAGGTTTGAGGCCAGGTCTGTTGTTTTTACACAGAACTGTTGCCCACTTTGCCTCACCAGTCAGTAGCATTGGCAAAAATATAGTATATGATTGTCTGTAAGAAATAACTAATTCCTAGCTGAGTGCGGTGGCTCACACCTGTTATCTCAGTACTTTTGGAGGCCGAAGCAGGTGGATCATGAGGTCAAGAGTTTGAGACCAGCCTAGCCAACATGGTGAAACCTGTCTCTACTAAAGATACAAAAATTAACTGGGCATGGTGGGACACACCTGTAATCCCAGCTACTCAGGAGGCTGAGGCAGGAGAATCACTTGAACTCGGGAGAAGGAGGTTGCAGTGAGCCAAGATTGTGCCATTGCACTCCAGCCTGGATGACAGAGTTAGACTCTACCTCAAAAATAAATAAATAACTACCAAGTTCAACTTAAAGAAAATACATTCTGAAGAAGAAGAACTGGCCAGAGCTTTTTTCATTAAGTTAGGGACAGTCATTAATTTCTAGTTGTCATTTTGCCCTTAATTGTTTGGAATTAAAATTAGAGCAAGATAAGATTTTGTTTGATCCCTTGTAGCAGTGAGAACTTTATGGGGTAGGATGGTGTTTTGGTGGTTTTCAGAGAAGGGCAAATTAGAATTCTTTTGCAAAGCCTTCCCTCATTTTTTCCAGTGAGTTCTCTGGCAGATGATTTTCAAAACCCAAACAGCTAGTACAGCTTGGACACTATTTTTGTTCTTAGGCCATTGTGCTTTGTCACATTTTTTGTCTTAATAATTAAAGAAACTAGTGACATCCGCACAATAGTTTTTCTTCAGAAAAAAAAAGTGTTGCTATTGCCTCCTTTCTGTACAATGTGGAGGAATTACTCTATATACAATGAAGTGAAATTCCTAAAGGCTAAGAATGCCTTGGGAGCAGGTCCTTAATCCTTTTGATCTAGAGAATATAGTTAGTTACGTGAGTAATCCTTGGGAAGGGAACTTTCAGAATTGTGGTTATTATGGTCCTTATTAGGGACACTATTTGTAGTATCCCTAATCCCCACATTCAAAATCTGAAATGCCCTCATATCCGAAACTTGTTTTTAGTTAAATTAACCATTGTCTTCTGGTTTAGTGTTTAGAATATATTAGGTCTTTGGGGGGATAAGCAGGATACCAAAGGTACCTCCCTCTGCTGGTTCTGGCTTCCCATGAAATAACCTCCATCTGAAACCAGAATGCATTTTGAAGCTTAGTCTGTTTAATTCCCAGCAGAATGAAAGCTCAAAGAGCAGTAAGTATTTAATACATGAGTTAGAAGAGCGCTGTGGTGGGCTCTGTTATAAAATGTAGCTTGAAATCTTATTCTGCTGGGGCAAGAACTAACTAAATGTGAAAATGAAATATTCTTCCATAATGAAATGAGTTAGGATGTCGGTTTTACTTATTAGTAGAACAGTTCTTCAGCTCTCTAGCACCGTCTGAAATGTAGTCTAGGTTGAAAAAGGTTTCCAGCGTGCAGCTTCATCACGCATGCCTTGCTTTAGGACAGGGAGGACGGGGATTGGAGTAGATACTGTGGACCGAGCCCTCTTGACTTTCTTTCCACTTCCTTGGTTGGAGAGATTGGAAACCTAACAGCTGCATGTCCCAGACTTTCTTACAGTCTGATTTCTGAACACGCAACAATGAGATGCATTTGTTGAGATTTGGAAGAGCAAGTTTCTCCTGCTTGTGCTGCTGGCAGGCAGTGGCATGGAGGTCGGAGTGTTTAGAGGCTGTTGTGGTGACCACACTCATCGTTCCAGGCTTTAGTCTCACCTCCCTGGGTGCGGGAATCTGTTGTAACAGCAGCAGCAGCTTCTTGACCTCTGAATCACAGCCACCTACAATGTTGTGACCTTGAATTTAAAAGTCTAGGCTGGGTGCAGTGGCTCCCGCCTGTAATCCCAGCACTTTGTGAGGCCAGGGCAGGTGGATCACCTGAGGTCGGGAGTTCGAGACCAGCCTGACCAACGTGGTGAAACCTCATATCTACTAAAAATACAAAATTAGCCAGGTATGGTGGCGCATGCCTATAATCCCAGGTACTTGGGAGGCTGCAGCCAGAGAATCACTTGAACCCAGGAGGCGGAAGCTGCAGTGAGCTGAGATCGTGCCATTGTACCCCAGCCTAGGCAACAAGAGTGAAACTCTGTCTAAAGAAAAAAAAAGTCCAAGGGGTTCCTGATGTCTGCTCCTCCAGTCTTCTTAATAGTTTTACAGACACTTAACTCCCATATCAAATTCCTTTCTGACTGCAGCACCGGGAGTGGTTTCTGTTTTCTGCACTCCTGTGACTGGTTGGGCTCTGAGCACAGGAGAGCTCAGGGCGATGAGGAGACCCATCCTGAATGACAGAGCTCACACGTGACCATGCACACGCACCTTCCAGAGGACATATCTGAGCGACAAAACCTTAACTGTTTTCTTAAAACTCAGGCTTACTGAGGCATAATTCACAAACAACATAATTCACCATTTTAAAATGCAAGGTTCTTAGTTTTAACAAATCAAAGTAGTATCCCTAATCTTACATTTAAAATCTAAAATCCCCTCAAATCCGAAACTTTTTTAAGGCCAACATGACACTCACAGGAAATGCTCCTTGGAGTATTTTGGATTTCAGATTTTTGGATTTGGAATGCTCAAGTGGTATATTGAAAAATTCCAACATCCCAAAAAATTCAAAATCCAAAACATTTCTACTTCCCGGCATTTTAGGTGAGGGATACACAACCTGTATAGAACACTTCTGTTGCCCCTGAATTCTCTCATGTCCCTTTATAGTCAAATCTGCCCCCCAGCCCTTGGCAACCACTGATCTATTATTTGTCCCTGTAGTTTTGTCTTTCCCGGAATGTCATATAAATGCAGGATACAGCCTTTTGAGTAGGGCTTCTTTCACACAGCATAATGCATTTGAGATTCATCCATGTTATGTGAATTATACTAACGCATTCCTTTTGCGTTGAATAGTATCTGTGGGACCTGCAGTTTATCCATTCACTAGATGAAGAGCATTTGGTAAACTTTAAAAACTTGCTTACATTTTTTTATGGGTAAGGGGGAAAGGGGGAACAATGAAAAATAATGTTGTGTTAATTATTTGAGGTAAATATCTGGTGCCCAGATACCTGTCCCTGGCCTTACGACAATCAGGACTATCAGCTCTGCCCCTAGAGGCTGTAAACAGAGGATTTCTAAGCCTGTTCCTCAAGAGCAAACTATCAACTTCTATCAACCCGTGTTTACTGTCCCAGTTAGCAGCTTTGCCTCGTTAGTTGTCTGGATTACAATGCTATCAAGAGACCACATGCCCTATACCCCACAAATCTAGGAAGTATAGAAAAACTGATAGTATCTTTATGTACTTGGTGCTATATCAGCATATGAGTTAGCTAAGTGGACCTTGGTTAAAAAATTGTGTAATTGAATTTTCAAGTAAGCCTGTCCTAATCTTCCCTTCCCAAAGGGAGAAAAACTGTTTTAAGAACAAAAGAAGGAGACTGATATAAAAGATTTAGCTGACTTCCACATCAAGAATTTTCAGTGTCCTGGTTGAATCAGCATTTTAGCACTGAACTTTTGAACTACTTAACAACACATAAAGCTGTCAACTTGAAATCCTCTG